GCGGCAATCATAGGAGTAGAATTATTTATCGAACACAATATTGGCCAAAACTGTAAGCTAGATGATTTGTACAAAGGTATACCATCCACATTTACTTTCAAGTTCAGAATTTCATTACTGTCATCTATTTCTAAAGATTGTGTGATGATTTTTCGAAGCCCAAAATACAAATAGTCACCACCACATTTTTTGTATGTAACTATTGTTCTTGTGCTTTTTACAAGAGTTCGACTGTCCTTTGAACATCAAAACCATGCTTCCGCAAGACACTAAGCACTCCGTTCACTTGAACATGCGTCATTTTACTTGTAACTGCCAAATCAGCCAAATCGTTTCTCAAACTTTCTTCATTGCTACTATCTGATCCTACATCACCTTCACTTTCCGAGCTACTAGTAACTGAACTCAGGTTATTAGTTTCAAAATCATCCTCATTATAGTCAATATCACGTAACATCTCAATATTATCTTGTTTCACAACTTCTTCAGCATTTGAAAAACTCCCCATTTCCTTTACCACCTTTCGATATTTTCTTTGGTACTCTGAAGTCATTTTCTATCAATAAAATGCACTGTATACCTAATTTAAAAGTAACACAATAAAACATTTAATTTTTTTTAGGCAAGTACTACTTGCTTAGTAGGTACATTCAAAATGTGTTGAAACAATAAACTAAAGAGAAGATTAACAAAACAAAAAACATATATATATATATATATATATATGTATATATATACATATATATGTATATATACATATATATGTATATATATACATATATATGTATATATATATACATATATATATATATATACATATATGTATATATATACATATATATGTATATATATATACATAAAATATATGTATATATATATATATATACATTATATGTATATATATATATACATATATATGTATATTTATATATACATATATATGTATATATATACATATATATGTATATATATATACATATATATGTATATATATATATACATATATATGTATATATATATATACATATATATGTATACATATACATATATATTATATATGTATATATATACATATATATGTATATATATACATATATATGTATATATATACATATATATGTATATATATATACATATATATGTATATATATATGTGTGTGTATATATATATATATATATATATATATATATATATATATATATATATATATATATAATCAATTGTATTACATTGCATATTTAAAAATCAATATATTTAATAAGTAATATATTTTCAAATAGTTTACATATTAAAAATACTCAACCAATGTTATCTCATTGGTAGCAGGAATCAAATATAAATAATAAATAACGACTAGAAAATCGGTAAATTATATATAATTTTTAATTAGTAAATAACCTCTTTACTAAAGAAGATAGAGTAAAATAGGGTAAAACTGAACACCAGAGAAAATTGAACACTTATGAAAATGTTATTAATTATAGAGAATTTTGTGCTTTATCTAATGACATAAAAATTAAAAAATTTCAATTAATAATTTTTGTAGCAAACTCAAAAGTTTGAACATGAGTATTAATTTTTTTTAATTTTATTTTAATACTGTCATTAAAATCTTGGAGAAAAAAAAGGAAATAACATTAAAGTAAGAAGATGTATTTGTAGTAAAAGTTACAATCAAGAATCTTTTTTCAGAAATAAAATTGTTATTTTCTAAAAACAGCTATAACTGAATCACTGAAAAAGTCATATTTTCAGATAAAACTGAATGGTAATATTTTTCAAACATCTTTTATTTTAAAAAGCTAACAATTTCCTGTACAAATCTTTGCTATAACTTACTTTTAACAACTTCTTATACAGATCTAAATCAATTTAAAAAAAAATTAAAATAGTAATTAATTATCAATACTTTGCCAAAGTCTTTGGCATGTTCAGTTTTATCATAATTGTAAAACTGAACACTTTTTTTTTTCAAATAAACTTATTTTACTAAAAAAACTTTAAGAGATTTTTTTTTTTTTAACATATTTGGATAGAGCACATCTTTTTCAACAAAAATTAAACAAAAATTATTTAAAAAAATCATTTAATTATATAAAAAAAATATAATTATAAATATAAGTGTTAGTTTTACCCCGTTTCACTCTACTTATTAAACATTTTAGTAAAATATTTTAAACAATAATAAATAATTTGTTATGTTATGCTATTACATAAAAAATGATACTTTTACTTATAAATAATAATTATACTTACAATAATTTGTATCATGAGAAAAAGTTGGCCTATTTTTTAATAACGCTAAATTTTCACCATGCTTATAAACAAACATGCTGTTCAGGGTTTGTAGCTTATATAGTCATAGGGTTCAGGGTTTTGTAGCTTATATAGTCTATAACTTATAGTCACATCGAACAGCATGTATGTTTCTATAAAAATAAGCATGACAAAAATTTAGCACTGTTAAAAAATATATCCACTTTTTCTCATGGTCAAACTTTCCCATTTCTTTAATAACCATTTATTCACGTAATATAATCTTGTTATCCTTTGTACTGCTAACTTTACACTTCTTCGCATAACTTAAATATTTTTTATATTTGTTTATTGATGTATATATATCCTATTTTTTGGCATGTGCTCATAATTATTTTTTTCATCACCCCTTAACTATTACAAATTCCTTAAGGATTTCCTCTTATTTTGTGAAATGCACCTCATTCAACAGGACTGCCAATTCGATTGTTTACGTTTGACGTCAGAGCGACGTAAATTTGTGTCCGTTTCATAGTCTGTTATAGACTAAAAGAAATTAAAACAAACAAAAAGTCGCTATTATAAATTATATTATAATTTATAATATCGACTTACATTAGTCAATATCTAAATGTTGGATCTACGTTAAATAAACTTATATATTAAATAGTTAAAAGGATAGATTTCAAACCTATAAAGGTTTGAAGTGTATCACGTGTAAAAAGTGTAAAAATTTCAAAAAACATAAAATTTTATATCTTAAGTGATGCCAAACCATTGGCAATTGTTAATGGTTTGCTCAATATAAAAGCGAGTTTGACGTTACAATTTTTTTTTCATTAAAAAAAAATTATTTCCGCCAAAAAGTATAAAAATGCACAAACTATAAAATAAGAGGGTTTTTTTTTATAGACGCTTTCATCATCAAATAAAAAATATATAAAAGGTCGATCGTCCTTACTATGTTATATAAATATTTGCATTAAATGGAAAAAAATTATATATTGTTAGAATATTATTATTAGTTAAAAAATTATTATTTTAGCAATATTTATATTCTTATTCCGTTTAATGAAACATTTTTTTTCCGTTTAATTTATATTGAGTGAAACTCAATAAAAAAAACTCAAAAAACTCAAAAGTCGTGTTATTCTTAAGTCATTTTAATATATACGTTTATTGAACGTCGATCCAACGTTTAGATAATGACTAATGCAAGTCGATATTCTAAACGTTTGATCGACGTTTAATAAACGTATATGCCAAAATATTTAAAATACCGATCAAAAATCAAGCGTCTATTTTAGGTCAATAATTGATCGCTAAACGTTTTGTCAATTTAACGACCAATTTTGACTAAATATTGACCAATTCTAAACCAGTCTGTGTTTGCTGGGAACGTCTTCCCAACGATACGAAAGACGTTAGAAACGTTGTCCCAACGTCATTTTTTTATTGGGTATATATATATATATATATATATATATATATATATATATATATATATATATATATATATATACATATATATATGTATATTTATATAAATGTATATATATATATGTATATATATATATATATATTTATATATATAAATATATATATATATATATATATATATATATATATATATATATATATATATATATGTATATATATATATATATATATATATATATATATATATATATATATATAATATATATATATATATATATATATATATATATATATATAATATATATATATATATATATATATATATATATATATATATATATATATATATATATATATATATATATATATATATATATATATATATATATATATATATACATATATATATATATATATATCTATGTATATATAATGTATATATATATATATATAATATATATATTTATATATATATATATATATATATATATATATATATATATATATATTTTATATATATATATATATATATATATATATATATATATATATATATATATATATATATATATATATATAATATAAATCTAAATTAAATCTAAATTAAGAAAAACAAACCCCCTTCCTCCCTCCAAAAAAAATTGAATAAATAAAAAGTCTTATCTATCCAAAACCACAATAACAGTTACCTTCAGCATTTATAAAGCGAGCAAGGGTTACACAATGAATTTAATTATTTTAGTTGTCATATTAGATTAAAAATTTTTTTTGAATTTTTTTTTAGAAAACTTGCGTAACATTTTTAACTTGTAAAATGTAAAATAATATTTTATAAATCTCTTGTAAAAAAAAAACAATAAAGTAAAAAGCTCTATATCAGGGGTTTCCAACCGTTTTGAACTCTAGAACACATTCTAAAATATCGGGAGGGTGGTAAGCACCGCCTATCTTTAATTGGGACACATTATACATGTGAAAAAACTCTACCAAATAAATAAAAGTCATTAACATTTTAGCTATTTATAAAAAAAAAATTTAACTGTCAAATAGTTGCGGGCAAATACAAATCAATCCGCAGGCGCTATGGTATATGGAAACATAGAGTTGGGAACCACTGCTCAATATTAGTTACATCTTAGTAAACACCTGAATAAATATCTAAACTACGTTCACCAAAATGCAACAAAGTTCCAAAACTTACCCAAAATAGAACATAAAAATGAAGAGTCTTTAAAGGTTTTTTTTGAAGAATCCAGGTTAACAAGAAACTGTAATAAACTGTTTGGGTTTTTATTGGCTAATCCACAAATCATTGGTAAACAACTAATCTTCAGCCTCTCATCAGTCATAATCTCATCACTACTTAAACAATTATATGCATATACAGATGCACAAAACTCCATTATTGTCAAATGTGCAAACTGATAAAAATAACCAAGATCTGATTCAATCCTTTCTATAAATCCAAAGAAATTACCTTCATTTTCATCAAAGTCATTAATAAAGGTTTGAATTTCATCTTTGGAAAAAATTATTTTATTGTTAAAAAACATTTTATATGCAATTTTACAAATATTTAAAATATACTTTTTATTGGAACTGTCTTCCATTATCTCATATATCAGTTTATTGTTTTTTATGATATGTTTTCGCAAAAAGTATAAAAAAATATTTGTATACAAATCAGTCATTGTTAAGAAAGAATTTGTATCAAATTTTTTCGATTCACTTATAATTTTACACATTGAAGATAAATAAAAAGGAACAGATGCCATGGCTTTTGCAATTGGAGACTCCTTTAAAGTTGTTTTTACAAATTCTTTTTTTTCTTCTATAACATGATTTTCTACATAATTATTTATTCCATTTTCATTAAACCCCATTACTTGAATGGTTAACTTATCGCTATGTTCTGTAGATATACTTTGGTATTGATTTATTGCATAAACTCTACCAGCAATTACATGTGTGTATTTTTGAATTTCTGCTAAAGCATTAACAATCGGATAGTTACAAGTCAAACTTGGGTTTAACAATTCATTAAAATATTTAAACTCATCTAATCCATCAATTATAAACAGTGCAGTATGATTTTTAATATCAAAGTTGTTTACAATATCTTTGTAGAACACATTTAGTAAATCATTAATATTAGAAATAAATGGATATTGATTAATTCTCCTGCATTCCAAATAGAAAACAAGTTCAACCTTTTTCCAAATTAAATCATTTGACCAATCAAACAAACATTTTCTAAGCAACCATGTTTTCCCGATACCAGCTATTCCAGATATTAATATTACTGGTTTTTCTTCCATAAATATTTCACTGTATGGAATTGATGTATAACGAATTTGCTTTTTAAGAAATTCCTTTCGTTCAACACAGAAAATAGCATCCATTTGAGCATTCACTGCATCAACAATACATAGATCAACAAATTTTTGTATTAGATCAACATTTGCAGATGCTTTTAATAGTGGTTGAAGTTCACCAATTTTCCCATAATACTTAAGATAAAATTTTTTTAGTTCAGCCGACATCCTCAACAAATCTAAATAAAACAAAACAATTTCTATTAAAGCCATCATCACAATCATAATTATTTGTGAAATTGATTTTTATTGATTTGAGATTTGAGATATTTTGATCAAAACTTTAATTTGAAGTTAATGTTATTATATTTGACAAAATTTTTATTTTTTGTTATGTCTTTATATAAACTTTTTAATTTGTGATTACGTTATTAATTGTTAATCTGGCAACAAAATATTTTATAAAGGCTTTAAATTATTACTTCTAACAATTTTTTGTACTGAAATTGATTGAAGTTATGACTTCTAGCAAAAAATTAATAAAGGCTCTTAGAAAACATTTCACTTTGAACATTGGCCTTGCTTGTCAAATTTCATGGTTTGAAGTTAAATTGAGAGAGTTGCAACCACATTAAAAAAAAAAAGATATAAAAAAAAAATCTCCTGGATATTATGAAATTTTTAGGATTTTTATTGTTACTTATTAAGTTGCTTACTAAAACTGAGCTGTTTTCCAAAATTTTATTTTGAGTTAATGTTATTATATTAAAAAAAAAGCTACCCTAATAAAAGTTCAAGAAAATTATGTTTTTAAAAGTGTACATACAAATTAAAACGCAATAATGAAAAAGCCTAGAATTGAGTTGATGTTTTAAGTAAAATAAGAAAAGCCCAAAAAGTAACTAATATAATATTTTTATTTTTTGATAAAAAAAAAATTTTAATAATGTTTAAAATTGGTATTAATATAATGTTTATTAAATGAAGACGAGTAAAAAATAAGTAATGTTTATTAAATGAAGATAAATAAAAAAATAAGTTACAAGTTATTTTTTGGTCTTGAAAATTGTTTGAATGATAATTTATTATTTATCAAAATATTTTCTTTTTTAATTTTTGTTGTTTTTATATTTTAATTAAAAGTAGATATTATTGTGTCATATATTATAATATACCTTATATTATACTATTATATTTTATATTAATAATGAGTATTTTTTTTTTTTTGTATTTCTAGTTTTTTTCAATATTCCATAATTATCTTATGTAGATGTTTATGTTTTAGCAACCTAGTATTCTTTCATTACTTGTCTTTGTTATTGAGCCTTAAGTTATTTGAACATAATATATTCAGAACTCTGCTGAATAATAGAGTAATAAATAAATTAATAAAAATGAGTTTAAAAAAAAATAAATTTATAAAATAAAGAAAATCTTATCTTTGCTTATAATGTCTACTAATATTATTGTTTAGCAAGTATCATGGTTATAAAATGTTCAAATTTAGCTAGATTAATTAGGCCTATTAGTACACTTATATTATGGTTTCTTTATTTTATATTAGTTCATGTAATTTTTTCAAAATCGAATATGCGGAAAGGAGCTGTTTGGAATAAGGATTTACAAAAAGAAGTAATTCCATCTGATTGGATTAGTGATAAAACTGTTTGTCAGCTTCCAGGTACCAAAGCATTGACTGCACTAAAATGCAGAGAAGAATTGGCTTAAGTTTATACAAATAAAAACTAAATTCTCTTCAGGTATTACATCTATATATTACAATTATTATTTTTTAAATAATGTGGTAAGAAGAGTTATTTTGTTAATACAAAATATATAACTATTTGTATAGCTATTTCAATTCTAAAAGAAAGCAAACAGTATTGTGAAAATTTTAAATTCACAACTACAAAAGAAAAATGTGATAATGAGAATGTTGACTAGTGAATGCAAATTTGCACACAAGTGGAAACTTGGATGCAAATTTTCCACTTGTGTGGTTTGGATGGTTCTCCACAATATAATATATCTCCACAAGCATAATATTAGATTTACTTCATGTTTTTTTACAGATAAATCAATTACAGTTAATTGGTGGAGTTACCTCATTTATAATCAGGGTGTCTGCAGCTCCTCTAAAATCCTCTAAAGTCCTCTTTTTTTAAAACCACTTCTAAAATCCTCTATTATCCTCTAAAGAGGTAAAAATTTGATCAAAGCTCTTCGTTAATTCTTCCTTTTTTAATTTTTGATGGATGTATAATGTTCAAAATACCCATTCTCGGTCTGCAAAACTGGTTAACGCCTTAAAGTGCATGGAATTGTAAAAAATTGCTTTAGAAAATGCATGCTATTTAACATAGCAAATGACATTATTTGATCCCTGTCCAAGCCCCATAAGTGTATAAACATGTATAAAAATTTTATGTGGCCACCCCGAAAATTATTTTTTAATGCTAGAAATGTATTATATTTTGATTATTAATTTATTTTTAATATATTAAAAAGGTTGTTTTATTTAAATTAAATATTTGAAAAAGTTATTTATAACCAACTAACAGCTATATTATTTTTTAAAAACTCAGAGTATTTTCGAAAAGTTATATGGCCTCCATGGATATGAAGGGCAAAGGTAAAAAATTTTTTTTAAGAACACTAATCTATATCGCGTTGAAAAAGATATACCTTCATAAGTTGTAACACTTTTCCATTCATTATTTATTTTTTAAATCTTCCCTTTTTGTTTTTTTTAATATATTTTTTTATTTACAGCTTCTTATATTGTACTCAATGGACCAAAAGAACCCTCGGTTAATGGAACATTGTTTGACTTTCTAAATTACGCTTTATTTCAAAAAGATGGTGGACAAGAGAAGAAATTTGTGTAGATTTTATTCAATTACATGTAAATATATGTAATATTTGAATATGTATTTTTGAATAAAACAAGTTTTATCTCTTTCTTAAATCATACCTAACTATTTTAACTAAACTAAACTGAAAAAGTTCTAAATAGTCTAAGTATAGACTATGAATAGATTTAATATCCATAGTATACCTTGATAATGTACAGCAACACTAATGTACATGTATAGTACGTTTTGATGGTGATCATACTTTGACGCACATAGCACGTTTACATACATATATACATTTTGACATACATAGCACGTTTTGATGGTGAAAAAGTATTTTACAGTCGTTTAACGTTGATAAATCAACGTTAAAAAAACTATTATTTTAAACGTTGTATCAACGTAAATTCAACGTTGTTGTAACGTTTTTTCGCGTCGAATTAACGTTGATATAACGTTTGAATCTAACGTTGATTTAACGTTGATAAATCAACGTTAAAAAAAACTTTCATTCTAAACGTTAATTCAACGTTAGGTTTCAACGATATTTCAACGTTAATTCAACGTTATTTGCCGGCTGGGAAAATCCTGAATAAACCGTTTAATAGCATATCATTATTTGATCTTAGGTCTACTGAATAAAATTAGATTCATCAATTGTCTCTCTAATACTTGATCAAAATTTGCGTTTAAAAATTTTGTCTTTTTAGTGATTACTTTAAACCTCATCCTAAATAACATATTATTAACTTCAGCAAAATATCCTAAAATTAGGCTTTCGTTTTGGTTAAGATTTTCTATACAGTTTTTCAAGTATCTAATTTGTATTCTTGCAAGATATGAACGAGTGGTAAAGTACAATCTTTAAAAAGAAAAACACAAAACATTTGCTTTTTTTGATATAATAAAAGGAAAGCATTCTCTGAATAAAATAATAAAAAAAATATTGTTTTTCATACTAAAACTAAAAAAAATGAAAATTACATTTTTAAATTGAATTTTAATAATTATTTATTATTATATCATTTAATGCATCAAAAGAAAATTAGAAAAGGGTTAGGACTATTGTAATTGTAATGAAAAAAAACAATAACAGTAACAAAACTATTATTGTATTAACTTAATTTAGAAACAATAACAATACTTGTGATTTACAACTATTGTAATAATGTGACACAATAACAATGAATATTGTATTGCAATTCATCTTTATAAAACAATAACAATATCTGAAAAAAATGCAATTTTTTTTTTGATTAAAACTAATTAATAAACGTATAATGACGTCATTGGAAACATTCTAGAAATTCTTTTAAAAATTTTACTATTAAATTTTACTTGAATAGCTGCTAACTATAGTTACTAATTTTATTAAAAGTTTATTTTATTAATTGTTCGTTTAATGAACAATTAATAAAATTTTAACGAACAGTTAATTAAACCAAGCACTAAGAAAAGATATAAAAATTAAGAATATACTAATAAAATATATAATTTGTAATTAACTTTCAAAATTTTGACAATTTAAAAAATATATATTATAAAACTTTATTTTTGTAAACAAATGATAATAGTTTAAAAGTTTTATGGCATTACAGATGTGGCTCCGAGAATGAGCCATAATATTAAAGTAATAGTTCATTTGATAATATAATCTTAAATAGATATCTCAAAACGCAACTTATCGTAAATAATACAATTCCTAAAACATTTCAACAGAATACTCTAGAACTTTATTTCGCTTAGTCAGCATGTTTTTTGAACCAATAGAATTAGTTTGTTCGCAAATTTGGCGGGTTTAGAGTGTTCGCGAATATTCTTTTGATTCTTCCGCAAGATGTTTTAAGAACATTCAAGTTAATTATATTTCCATGTATGTCTGTAAAATAAAAATTAATATATATTAATTTTTTAATTTTTAGGCCCCCGCCATAATATATATTAGTTGTTATAATGGAAATATAAATAATGAAATAAGATCATCTCAATACCAAAAATTACATTTTTGAAAATCAGAGAAAAAATGCGTTAATTTTTTTTTTAATATTTACAAAGTAAATTAATAAAAGTGCATTATTATTTAGGCTAAAAATTATTTTATCTAATAATTTGAATTATAAACTTATAACAAAAGAAATCAAAATACACGTGGTCTAGACGATTATTTAAAAAAAGTTACGCAAATAAAATACTATTTTGTTTTTTATTTTATTTTTGTTTTTAATTTTATTTTGGTTTAATTTTATTTTGTTTTTAATTTAATTTTGTTTTGAATTGTGTTTTGCAAACACATTTTAGAACTTTCAAGTATAATAAAAATGAATATGATTTTGAAATTGTATGGAAAAAATAACAATCGGTGTTTTGAACAAAAAAAAAAAAACTATGACGTCATGCACTAAAACTCCTATAAATTAAACGCGCTTGAATAAATTATCAGTCTGTATAATGCGCCTGGAAAATCGCGTTTATTTTACATACTCAAAATACCACAGAAAACAGAGAAGACGAGTTTCGACTAAAACAACAAGATTTGTTCTTCTTGGTATACATTTATTAATTAGTTTTAATCAAAAAAATTTGCTCAGACGTTTTTCTTTAACATTCTTTTAAATATGAACACAACATGTCTCGGGACTTGGTAGTCCCTTTAAAGTAAATAATTATTTAATTACAAGCATATGATAATTTATATATTTGTATGATTTCGAATGAATATTATTAATGCTAATTCTAAATAAACAATTATTGAAACAGTTATATTATTGAACTCAAAATAAATAAAATTTATATATGTAAATGGTTTATAGAAACCTAATATTTATTGAGTACACGTAGTATATATACTTCTTTGGAAGTATATATACTACATATACTTGCATCAATATTTGCATCATAATTGTATCTCTGGCATTACAATACAATATTATTGTATTGTAATTGTTATTGCATTTAATTTTTAAAAAAACAATAACAATAGTCCTAACCCTATTTTGAAACATTACATAGTTGTTTTCAAAAATATGCATATTAGTACCATAGTAGAATTTATTTGGAAAATGATGTAATCAGTGAATCTGATTTCTAAAGTGTCACTACACTACTATTGCAGTTACAATAAACAAAAACAAATGTCAAAAGGTATTGTTTACTGAAAAAAGCCTCAAGTGAGTTAGAATAACTTTTAATAAGTTTTTTCAAAACTAGTTCTAGTTCAATTGCAAGCGAACTAACCAACCAATTATTAAGAGCAGTGAACACTTTTAGAGTAATGCCTACTTTACAAAGGATTGTTATTTATAATTTATTTCAGGCTGATAATACAAAAAAGTATCTCTTTGGTAATTGATTCACCTAAAACCACCAACAAAATATATAGTCCATCTAGATATTCCATATCTAGATAAGTCATAAATGTTAAACAATAAAAAAATTCATAACAGATGGGATTTGTTGTTGGGAGATACCAAAATAAAGAGTTATTTATTATAATTATTTAAATTGTGATAGTCCATCATTGATTCCCTTAAAACCTACAAAATTGATATTCCATATCTAGATAACAGTTAAACAATAAAAAAACATTCATAACATATGGGATTTGCTGCGGTAAGCAATTAAATTATTAAATATTAGTAGCTTACCTACCAACCAATTATTATTATTTTAATTTTTTTTAATTTTAATTCACCTTCTCGAAGCCGAGAAGGCCACTACAGACAAGGAGGCTACTTATTTTGTGGCTATAACCCTCTCTCAACTCTATAACTCCGAAACACGATCCTTGAAAAACAAGGCCGCTGCGCGGAGAAACGAGTTAAGTGCGGTACTACCAGGGACGTGGTTGGGATCGAACTCGAAACCACTTGTGTATGAAGCGAGCGCTCTACCACTACACCACTACTGCATGTGAAGATTATTAAGAGTAGTTAACACTTTTAAAGCAGGCTTGGTCAGGAAGTGGGATTACTGACCACAGAAATAATATTTAGTTGCAAAAAACTTGCCAGATTTTTGCAGGGTTTATGTTAGGTCGTTATGTTAACAAAATAAAGAATTATTTATCATTACTATTTAAATTGTGACACTGCTACATCTAGGAATTATAACATACTTAGTGAGCTCAATTAAAATACTTAGTGAATCTATTTAACATCTTTTTATCTTATTTTATATAAGTGTTAACACTTTTAAAGTCAAACTTGCCATTACAAAAAAATCTTTGAAAAAATACAGTAAAAATAAACACACATTATTTGAAATTTATCTCAAAACAATAGCATCATGACACTAAACTTATGCAACAAGAACACTGCACCTAGACAAGAAGCTATCTTCTTGTTATCATGTAACTTGTTATCATCTATAAAACTATAAATAAGACCCATCAACATAGGGTCTTTTTTATAGTTTGACTTATAAATTAGGGTTTAGTATGTTTTAGGTGCATTGTTATGTAAAATGTTATACTTCGGTTACTTAAAAAAAACTGACATTTTGCACATTATGTAACGAATCTTGTTTTCATTACAATACATAACATAACTTTAAAATATTATAAATATTATATTATAGGGGCATCATGAAACTAATATTGAGCAACAAGAATACTGCACCTCGACAACAAGCTCTCTTCTTGCTTTGTTTGTCAAACAAGTTAATGATACAATCCTAATATTAATTATAGTTATAAATAGTTATAAATAGGGTATTAATTATAGTTTTAAATAAGAATAAAACATTTTTGTTTTATTTGTAAACCCCTTTTACTTTATTACTTTTTACATTAACTTTATAAAATTTTATAAGAAATTTATTTTTAAAAATCCAGAAAATAATTTAATATAGTAATATAATATATTTTTGTTATTCACCGTAAATTATTATGAGAGTAAATTGTATAAAAGGTATTGTTGTAATATAACCAATGAGATATGAATTTACAAAATCCAGTAACACAATAAACAAAAATGATAATTAGCAACAATAATAAAATAAGCAACTGAAGTTAGTAGACATAAAAATGCATGTTTAATGAAAAAAATTGAAAATCAAATGAAAAAGTTAAAACTTAATAAAAGGACTTGACTTAATAAATTATTCAACATAAAATAATTTTCTTACTTTTGAAGCAAACAAAGCGTAAACCAATTTAAAAAATTACCTTTATTGAAAGAAACAGTAAAATCTTTGTTTGGTGAACTTGAAGTCTCTAAATAATATAAAGTTCTTATTTATAACTAAAACTTGGAATAAAAATACGGAGTAAAAAAATAACACTAAAAATGTATCTATAGAAAATAATAACAAAAAATTGTAAAAGGGTTCAACTCGTTCCCGCAAGGTTTAATTATAAATGTCTTTTCATATAATTTTTGACCTCCTGAAAAATTATAAAAAACTTGGTCTATGTTTCATGCCTTGTACCAAACCTAGTATGAAATAACTAGGTTTGGTACTATAACTGAAAAAACTTAGACAGTTGAAATCATGTGGAGCTAAAACAAAACAAAACACCACTAGAGTAAAAGAAAAACAAACAAAAACTGACCCAACGAACTGGGCAAAAGGAAAATAGTGTTGTGAAACTATAAAAAAACCTAATAATTTATCAAAATCATTCAATTTTATCCATGACCATGTTTATCAAAACTATATTTGAAGCATTTAAAGTGTCTGTAAAAATGCTAAGAGCTTAAAGAAAAATCAGATCAGGCAGAAAAGGCTTTCTTAGACTATAGTTGCTAGATGATTGGCTTTTACATGGAAGAATACAATACCGAACCTACAAAAATTAAAACACTTTTACCTTCGTAAAAATCACTGAAAAAAGAGTCGCACGCCAAGACTAGAGTTGCTAGTTGTAAGGGTTAGGGTTAGGGTCAGGGTCAGGGGTTGATTGCCAAACTAAAAGTGTTTGAGGTCGGCTTTTTGCCAAATGCTGACCCTAATACCTATAGTTTTAAAATAGTGAAGTAAGTGTATGCCAATGATCCATAGTTTTATCATATCAGTAAATAGAAAACACATCAGAAAATAGAAAATAAAAAGTAAATATGATTTTTATTTAGTATTGTTACCTCCAAATTTTGTTTCAATTTTAATCACAATATCTAATCGACTAAAAGCCAGTAATTCTTTTTTTAATTGCGTCCATGAAGGATTTCCTATTTTTTGTTTCCACTTTTTAAAAACATTATCAGCTTTTTCATAACAATTTTTGTTATCAGAGCTAATGTTATCCAGATCTGGATCACTTAGACCAAGGTGTCTTCCCCATCGCAACCAATCACTTCCAATATTATAGCTTATTTCACCACACAGTTTTGAAATAAATTCATCTGAAGCCAATTTATGTCTAGACACTAAACATAAGAAATTTAAACTTTAAAAAAAAAAAGAGGCAATTAAATTTATAAAAACAAAAATCAAAAAAAAATTTGGTGTTTATTTGTATATAAAAATGATTTTGTAAGAAATTTAAACAAATTGATCAACAGATTGATTTATTAGATAACATAATTGGTAAAATGTATGATACATCAAATGTGTTAAGATTCATAATTTAAAAAAAAAACGATCTATAACAATACAAAAATTATTAAATTTAAGGATAAACACAAAGATTATTGATTAACAACAACAAACTTTTTATTTTATTCAATATCTAAATTAACAACAAACAAAAATGCAACAAACTGTACTAAAATTAAACTATTATTTATGTTACAAACTTTATTAACATTCCTGTATTCATAACCGCTAAAGTCCGCTGTGATTCAGAGTTTATTGAGCCATGGAAAATGCATATTTTTAACAGTGAAGCTTATAAAATACATGGAACTACAAATTTTTTTTCAGCTAAAGACAACTTTATTAAAAGACATTGAAAAGCACCAGAAGATGGTCAAAGTCCACTTGTTTATTAAACAAAGCTATGCATAAATTATTCATGCAAATAAATAAATAAATATTTAAATTATGCTAAAAACACTTTTTTGATTTTTAGTGGGTAGGAAATATCTGTTTAAGTTAAAATTATTATTTTCTTTGTATCTGTATTGCTGAGAAACGTAAGTCAAATTTAAATGTCTTCAAATAATTATAATGCAGAAAACAATAAAGAAAAATTAAAAATCTTTTGTTTAGTTTTTTATATTAATTAGCTTATAAAAATAGTTACATTTTAGTTTTTTCTTTTTTCTTGAAATTTTTTTAACTATTTGTGTTAGAGATTGAGAAATGCAATACTTGTGGACCTTATTGCTTGCAGAGTCACTGACACTAGAAACAAACCATTCAGTGTAATGTAATGCATTACAGTCACCAACAACACTAATATTAGCTGATGGATAAAGAGAAAGGGCTTGGTCAATATAATCAAAAACAACAAAAAAAAAAAGTCGTCTTGATATGAAGGAGAGCTATATAGAACAAAGAGAATGGCGATGGGGTGATGACTAAAGTGGTGCTAAACAAAAGCACATAAGAGAATAGTCGGTTGGTTCAAACCTAGTTTCCCAAAAAATAGATGAACTCTTATGAATGTAAATACCCAGGTCAAGCATATAAAAATTGGAGTTTTTATTAGTTAAAGAAAAATACTCCAAGCAATTGCGTACTTTTTATAAATATATCCTTATTTGTAACAAATGGGTCAAAATGTGGCTTACACAATGCACACCAAAACTACAAACAGAGACACCATCCATGCACAACATGACACTATTAGTACTCTGATATTTTACAGCGTTTGATGGAATTAGTCTCTCTGGAAGATACCACAAAGTTTAGGAAACCTGACTACTAGCCAGCCTCAGAATAAAAAAAATGAGTTTCATAGATATTAAGTTTTTATTTATATCTAATAGTCAAACAGATTAAAAAAGAAGAGCGAAACTGGTCAGCAGATAGCCTCTATTTACCCTTTAATATGCATATAAAATATATATAGCTATAAAATACAATAAGTTCTTTTCTGGTTTGACTTTGGTTTTGTAATATCAATTTGAGTTTCCATTTAATACTTGTGAGTTTTCAATTTGACATTTAAGATTTTTTTTTTTTTTTAAACAGTAAGTTTCTGTTTGCTTATATTTTTATTTTTTGTTTCATTTAATTCACTTTTAACAAGAAACCACTATAAAGTTGAGACTATACTATAAAAAATAAAATAGTGTTAAAAAGCAAAGAAACAGGTTTAGAGAAGAACTAAATAGTTGAAGATTACATGATTATATAAAAGGTAAAGATTAGAGAGAGTGGAAAAGCATTGAAGTGTATGGTAAGGTACTAGATAGATAAAAGATTTTAGAGCATGAAAGGACAGAGAAAAAAAAAGGACGCAAACTTGATGAATGACGAGTTAATCTGAAATGAATGTTGGTTGGTGGAGCTAAAGATAATAGTTATTGTAGTGCATTGACTATTGTTGTATTTGTAAAAAAGAAAGAGAAGCAAGCTTACGACGATGGCAGAGAGGCTCAATATTATTTAATAGGTCCAACTACGTTAATAACGTCTTTTTGGACCTTGTTTAGAAGAGAAATATCATAATTAGAAGAACTAGCCTAAATAATAATAGAATCAGCCTAAACTTATTTTGTATAATTGATGTTTTACAACAGTATCCAATACAGAAAGGTTAATTTTTTTTTTTAAAACATAAAAGAAATTAAAAACTTATGAAAGCCTTTCTTTTTATTTTAAAATAAAAAGAAAGGCTTTCATAAGTTTTAAATGAAGCTTTAATATATTTTATACTTATTATGTTATACAACCCTTAAAATTAGGATAAACATTCAGCAATGTCTCTGTAACTGCAAACCTAAAAGTGTTTGTGGTCAGCAAAAATTCATAAAAGATCATAATTAGAAGAGTATCCAATACAGAAAGGTTCATCTTTTTTTTTTTATTCAAAATTTCTTAAAGCGCAATTAATATTGAAAGTAGTTAAAATAAAAAAAAAGGCTTTCATGAGTATTAAATGAAGCTTTGTATTTATTGTGTTTTACAACCCTTGAAATTGGAATCAGCATTCAGCAATGTCTCTCTAACTGCCAACCTAGAAGTTTTTGTGGTCAGCAAAAATTCTCAGACCTTATTTCTGTATTTTTTGAAAACTGCTATGTGTCAAATTATTTTCCAAACCTGATGCCAACTTCTAACAGTTTGAGGATGGCAATTTGCTTCTGACCTCAAACTGTTAGAGGTTGATTTCAATTCCGATTGCTAACAATCAAATAAACATTATTATACATTAAATATTTTGCAAGAACAAAAAAAATCTGTTAGCTCTAGAAAAATGAAAAAAAAAAGATTTAAAAAAGAATTAAAAAATATTCTATATTTCTAAATAAAGATCAATAGTTTAATAAGCAGTAAATTATTGGAATAACTAATACAAATTAATTATAGAAATAAAAAGTATTTTTATTTCTATAAATTCCCTTATTCCAATGATAATAAAATGATATACAGAAATGAGTCATTTTTTATTTTGTATAATTGATGTTTTTTTTAAGATATGCAATTTAAATACAAATTTTTGGGTTCATCATTTTTGTTACAAAAATAAATAACATTTCAGTTTATTCAATAGTTATGTTTTCTTTTAATGTCTTTTTTATCATCAACTTTTCTTCATTTATTTTCCATTTACTGTTTTCTCACAATAACATTTCAAACTTATTAACGATTGTTTTTCAATTTTTTCTCCTTATTCAAATCTTTGTGTGTTGTAAAATTCAACAAAATCTGAACTTTTTTCATGACAAAGAATGCCGCTTTAACGTGGGTATACCACTGGAACTTATATATTACAAAGAAATAAGTTTATTCTAACTAAAATTTGATGAACTTTTTATAACATTTAGACTTTAGATACCAAACTATATGTCATCATAGCTTAGCAAGAAACATGTGTGTTCTCTTCTCTGTATCAAAGTTTTAAATATTTAATATAATTAAAAGCCTAATATCTAATTAAAACAAAATAGATATGCACAAATAATATAAATTAATATAATTTAAAAAAATAAATATAATTATATTTATTTTTTTTAATTATATTAATTTATTTCTTATTATTTATTTCGAAATTTTTTATATGTTATTATATTTATTTATTTCATATTAATTTAGTTTTATTTATTTTTTATTTTATTATATATTTTTTTTATATTATTATATTTATTTCTTTCATATTAATTTATTTCTTATTATTTATTTTGAAATTTATTTCTTACAATTATATTAATTTATTTCTTATATTTAAATTTATTTCTTATAATTATCGAATTTATTTCTTATAATTTTAATAATTATAATTATAATTATGATATAACTATCGATTTTATTTCTTATAATTACGAATTTTATAATAGAATATTTATAATAGAAATTTATAATAGAATATTCAAATATTTCACTAAAAATAACCAATTCTACCCAAAACAATTCGGATTTCAAAAAAAATCACTCAACTGGGCATGCAATTATTGAAATAGTCAACCAAATAACTGATGGGTTTGACAATAACAAATTTACTTTAGGAGTATTTATAGATCTATCTAAAGCATTCAACACAGTCGACCATTGCATTTCTTACAAAAAATTAAGCATTATGGTATAATTAATACAACCTATTTCTGGATTAAAAGTTTTTTTACTGATAGAAAGCAATATGTTCATAAGGTGCAATCTGGAATATTAAATGTCGTTTGCGGAGTTCCACAAGGATCAATCCTTGGTCCGCTCTTATTCTTAATCTATATTAACGACTTTTGTAATGCATCCTTAAAACTGAACTCAATAATGTTTGCAGACGATACTAATTTATTTCTTGCCAATAATCATATTAAACATCTTTATACAGATATGAACATAGAATTGAATAAAGTAAATAATTGATTTAAAGCTTGTTAAATGTTGAGAAAACCAACTATACTCTATTCCATAAAAAAACTCAAGAATTAAACATTCCTCTTAAATTGCGCGAACTGTACTTGAATGATACAATAATTAAAAAGCAAGCAAGTATAAAATTCCTCGGAATCTATGTCGATGAAAATTTATCCTGGCTTTCCCATATATATTACATACATTCAAAAGTTACCAAAACTATTGGCGTAATGTATAGGGTTAGACCATACGCCAATATGTTAAGTCTCAAATTAATATAGTTTGGACTGATACACTGTTTTATTAATTAAAAAACTCCAAAAACACGCTTGCCGTATTATATACTGTAAACATAAACGTGAACATGCAAAACCTCTTATGAGAGATATGAAAATGATGGATATATTTGAAATAAATATTTATCAGCATCTAATTTTTATGTATAGATACTAAAACAACCTCTTGACAGCAAACTTCAAAGATAAGTTAGAAATAAATTCAAATGAAAAGTATGGTCTAAGATCAAATAGAAATAAAAATTTTAAATTGCCTCGGATATGTAATAAACTCTCAGAATTTTGTATATCTTATCGAGGACCTAAATTATGGAATGACTGTCAAAAGGAATTTAAATTTATGGTAAAGTCTTTAAATTCATTTAAGTTTCAATTAAAAAAAGAAATTTTTAAAATTTGAACTTAAAATAAAGTTTTTTCTTTTTACTTTTTTGATTAATTTAACCTTGTCTTGACATTTTAATGATAACATTGTTATTACTATATTTTTATACAAGCTATTTATTCTTACGTTGTTTTATTTAAACTTGTACCTTGGGGTTCTATGAAAAGATTGCGATAACGTAATGTTATCCTTATCTTCTTTGAGCCCCTATCTGATTTAACTTAATTTTGTTGTAATGTATATACTTTTATATTTTATTTTATGAGATTCCATATGTATACGTGTATTGTAATAATATTATACAACGTTAATAAGAAAAAAAAAAAAAAAAGATCCTTCATGGGTGTTTTCAGTACCTTCTTTAAGTTTTTTTTTTCTACTCTTAGTGGAAGTAGTAATACTTTTTTGGATAGATCAATACAAACAGTTTATCAATATTTTTTTTTTTTCTTTTTTTTATTTTAATTCACCTCCTCAAGGCCAAGAAGGCCACTACAGACGAGGAGGCTACTTATTTGTGGCCATAACCCTCTCTCAACTCTATAACTCTGAAACACAAACCTTAACAAACAAGGACGCTGCGCGGAGAAACGAGATGAGCGCGGTACTACCAGGGACGTGGTGGGGATCGAACTCAGAACCACTCGTTTATGAAGCAAGCGCTCTACCACTACACCACAACCGCATTAATAATATAAGTATAAATATATAAGTATAAATCAAAAAACAATATTAAAAACAAAATTATTATAGATATGAACTAATTTAAATTCTTAGTGTCATCATTTTAAGTGGAAAAAATAATTAACATCTCAGTTTAATCAACAGTTATGGCTTCTTATAGTAATGTTGCTTTTTTTTCATAATCTTTTCTTCGTGTATTTTCTGTTTGCAGTTTTCTCATATTAACCTCTTTTAAATTCATAAGCTTTGATTATTTTTCAAAATTTTCTCCTTATCAAAACATTGCATGGTGTGAAAATCAACAAAATTTGAACCCTTTTCTGCTTGTAATATTATATAGTAGTGCAATATTGAATTCTTTTTTTTCTATCCTGCCTGAAACCATTGCATAGACACTTCTTTTATAATAAAATATGCCTCTTTACATAGGTATACTCCTGGAACTTATATTTTAAAAAGAGTTAGGTTTATTAGTCTAGTAACTAAAGTTTGCGTTTTTCTGCTCCGTGCGTGATTCTGATTCAAACTTAATTTATTCTAATGAATAACATTTTTTGTAAACCAAATATTCAAAGAGATTAGAATTAAATAAGAATAAAGTGGAGAATGCCAGTTTTATTATTATGATAATAAAAAACAAAATAATTACGAGTTTCCATGCTTGATTTTTTTAAATGCCTAGCACTGATTTAAAATATAGCATTACGTTACTCGCTTTACTGTAGAACATGTGTTTATGAGAAGAAAAAATATAATACTGGTATTTTAAAATAAGATTTTAGATGATTATTTAGTAAAAACTTTAAGAAAGTTACAGGATTGCACTACCATCAAATTATTAGTGTTACAGCTATCGTTTAAATCCAGTTGTATGTATGGTGACACAGGGAAATCGCAGAGAGAAGTTGAAAATTTGTTGATTTCATCTTGTGATTTTTATGAAAATTAGTTAATTGTGAGTATTTCAAGCACAATTTTAAATCTCTACAAATCATATTTAATATATTGAAAATATTTCATATTGCCTTGAAATTATATCAAATTTATGGCTTTAAATTGTTTGCAAAAGTAAATAAATCAAAATTTCTTTAAACTTTTGCACTTAGTAATACATTATAAATCATTTTTAGAGAATTATAGTTATAAAACTATAAACCAAATAACACCAGAATGGAGTATAAAAAAGTTTTTTTTTTTTTTTGAAGCTTTGGAAGTGCTCCAAAGAAATTTTTTATTACACCAAATGTCACTAAAAATGTTACCTAAAGTCATACTCTACACTTTATTATTTAGAAAGAAATGTGTTGTTAGAACTGCAGAGCTCGAAGAGTAAAAAGAAATGCAACTAGCCTTGTCCAACCCTGCTCCTTTCTGTTAATAATCTTTGCTATTTAATATTTAGGATTTTGCCATTATATTGCTTGTCAATTTATAATTTAAAGTTTCAAATTAAAATCACTAAAATAAGTAAACAAATAAAAAAATAATAATAATAAAAAGATATACCTTCTTTTTCAACTGAGCTGCTAAATAAACGATTTCCCATTTTATTGTAGAAACCTTAAATAGATCACACAATAAATTTATAACAATATAAGAAATATTTCCTAATACCAAGAAAATATCTTTATGAAAAAATATACAAAGCAAACATATAGAGGCCCATGGTAAGGTAAAAAAGGCCCATAGTAATGTAAAAAATAGTACTATTTTTAATTGATTTTAAAATTGCTGATTTAATTTCTTTTTGAATATGTTGTTTTAGTTAGTTACTTTTAGAATATTCCGTTCGATGTACAAATGATTTCTAAATAAGTATTTTATATAGTCATATATCAAAAACTTTGTTTTTATAGTTAACTTTTTACTGAGAATTTATTTAACAGTATTAAATGCTTTATTAGGAATCATACAAAAAAACTATATATATATATATTTTTTTTAAAAAGTGCTTTTTTACTAACTAAATTTCTTGTATCACCTTAGTAAAAAAGTTCAAAAAGAAAAACAAAACAAAATTAAAAAACAAAAAAAAAAATCTTATTATATTATAAATATTTACTGTAAAATTCGAAATGTCCTTTTATTGAGCAATGCACAATCAAATAAAATAAGTGACAACAATGTCTCATTAAATTACTTATATTAAAATAAAATATAAAATATAGCAGACTAAATTTTAAATATTCATAAGTTCATTATGAGAAAAGCCGTAAACTTCAAAAACTTTACTTGCGTTTTAGTTAGATCCCTAGCTCTAACCATGTTTGTAATCTAGATCTACTGCTCTAATCATGGTTGTAAATTTAACAAATTTGTTGAGATTTAACAAATTTCTAATGTAATAAATATTTCAATACTGTCATTGTACTTATGATTTCACAACAAAAATAACAGAAATGCTCTAATCTGCATTAGATGGAATAGGAGAAGTTAGATTTTTTTGTTTTCTTGTAGGAGAGCCTTGAACTTGTAATAGAGGCTAACATACTTGACCATAATCATTCTTAATATGTTTTTAGATTTACTGAGTCAAACCTAAGTTTTTAAACTTTTAAACCTTTCTTCTCTAGGTGCTCTAAATTAGTTTTATTAGCATATGATACGATAATACAATCTAAATATATAGTTGCATCATTATAGATATATAATCCAGTCTTGATATAAAACCACAACTTTTTGATTAGCTAGCCATAATACAACAGGTAGCAAGAGCTTATTATGATTGTCATCTATATTATCATTTTGTCATAAGTTTACTTTTCTTTGTCTCGCTCTCTGTTTTTTTTTTTACTACTATTTCAAAATCCATCCTTTGAAAAACTTTTATTTATCTTAATTTAGAATACTGTTATTATTTTAATGCTGGGTCATATATACATGTTCTTTCTTTTTCAAAAACATATTTAAAAAGTAGTGCATAAACATATTTAAAAAGAAGGTAATCTTGCTAGCATTGAAGTTTGATAATGGACAAAACATTCTTTTTTCAAAAATTATAGATGAAATAAGTTTTTTTATAGTTTAAAAATTAGAGCCACTTGATCAAAAAATACTAAATTTATTAAAATTAATTAGGCATAATAAAAAGTAAATTTAAAATCACTAAAATTATAAATTGCAAGTTTTTAATTTAAACTACACAATACTTTTACATTTTGATTTTTTAAGACAACTTTATTTTAAAGAAGTTTTCGCTCGCATCAAACAAACAAAATTGTTAGTATCAAAAACTATAATTCTAACTGTAATAAATTTTAAAATCATGCTTCTCTAGTATTCGATCTGTAGATTATGTTTCGCGGACGTCTTATGGAACGCCGTTGTAAAACCACGGCCTCGTTGTCTCATTTTATTTTTGTTCTGATTATTCAAAAAAATCAACTAATCAGATGGTTTTGTTTAAAAATAAGTTTTTTGTTTTGTTTTACGTATTGATTAATTTATATACAAGGCCAGCGCGTTAGGGGGGTGTGGGGGTCGTTATGGTCGTTATGCAAATGTCGGTAATTTTTGAAAAACAAGGACCTTTTTTTTTTTTTTTAGACGGCAAAAGTTGTAATGTCACCCCAAGCCCCCACGTGATACCTACTCGCGCCAGCCCTGTTTATATATATATATATATATATATATATATATATATATATATATATATATATATATATATATATATATATATATATAATATATATATATATACATATATATATATATATATATATATATATATATATATATATATATATATATATATATATATATATATATATATACATATATATATATATATATATATATATATATATATATATATATATATATATACATATATACATATATATATATATATATATATATATATATATATATATATATATATATATACATATATATATATATATATACATATATATATATATATATATATACATATATATATATATATATATATATATATATATATATATATATATATATATATATATATATATATATATATATATATATATATATATATATATATATATATATATATATATATATATATATATATATATATATATATATATATATATATATATATATATATATATATATATATATATATATATATATATATATATATATATATATATATATATATATATATATATATATATATATATTAGGGTGGTTCAAAAAACAATATTTTTGAAAAAATTCTGCTCCTACCCCCTAAATGTGTTCTATTTAATACAAAAACACTAAGTTTAATTTTTTTTTGAATAAAAAATATTTTTAGGGGTGCCGCCAGACCCTCGAATATTTTCCGGGTCCTTAATATTTTCAAATAAAAAGTTTCCCAAAAATAGGTCAACCTTGTACTCAAATGAAGTGAAATTATATAAAAAATTTCAAAAATAATATTCATTTAAATAAAATATTGTTATATTAAGTTTTATTACATAAAAAATCATGATTTTTAGCAAAAAATAAAAAAAGTGAATTTTGCATGATAATTTTGATAAATAAGTTTAAACATCAATTTATTGTTTTATTGTATTTATTAATTATTTTTAATAATTTTAATTAAATATATATATTAAAATTATTAAAAATAGATATATTAAAATAATAACAATAAAAATAAATCATATTAAAAAACCGTTAAGAAGACATTAAAAAGATGAATTTACATCAAGTGGAAAACTATTTAGATTTTAAACTATTTTTAATTTGACGTTTTGTAGAAGACTCGGAAAAGGTTTAGGTTGAAAATGCAACTTTAAAATATCAAGACGTAAAAATTTACTCAGCACCACTCTTTTTTGAGGGTTTCTCAAGCAGTTTGAACGTTCCCGTCTTGATTTCTAACCCAGAACGGACGTAAAAAAGACGTCTTTTAAACGTAACAAACGTCTTTTTACACGTTTTGGACGTCTTTTGAACGTTTTAGACGTCTTTTTTTGGTCCGGTGCCCACTGGCAAATCAGCCTAGTAGTTACGAGACCGGAGAACCTGAAGAAGATAAAATCTTATCATCTTATTCAAATTATTAAAATCTTATATCATTGTTTGATCGTGACTGGAAGTTTTAAGTATTCCATTTACTTTCGTGTTTTTATTAAATAATGAAGCACCAATTTAAAATCTTATCAATAGTAATCTTTGGTAATAAAAATTGAAAATAAAAGTGTTTTGTTAAAAAAATCATATAAAGATTCTTGATTGGCAATAAGTTCGATTATGTTCTTTATAAATTTTTGAGAGGTATTGACTTCTTTAAGATTACAACTCAGGTTTGTAAAATGGTTCCATAGCATTGGGCCACGATAGGAAATAACAAAGCTCGTAAGTTTTGATGAGCGGAAAGGTTTTATTAATCTTTCGGTAGATCGTGTATTGTATCGGTTTAATGTTTTACGGAAAATATTTTCAAAAACATTCAGCGTTTTTCTTGGCTGGTGTTGAAACATAAATTGTGTAATTTTAATATTTAGTTAATAAATATCAAGTGCCTTCATATTTTTTAAAAAAGGTTTAACATTTGTGAAGCAATTTTGAAAATCGCTTCACAAATGTTAAACCTAATGCGTGCTGCATGATACTGTTGTTTAAGGAGACATTCGACTATTCATGAATGCAAAATATACCTGAGTTAGTTTAGATATGTCTACGATTTGTCTGGTTTTATATAAAATGCCAATATTTCTTGAGATTTTATTGCTAATATGTTTAATATGTTCTCTCCAGGATAAGTTTTCATTTATTAAAATACTAAGTAATTTATTTGTGAATGAGCGCTCAATTTTGATGTTATTTATATATAGCATTAGTAAGGATTTTGGAATATATTGAAACTTTCGTTTAGAATCGAATAAGGAAAACTTAGTTTTATCAGTGTTTAAAGATATTGATATTTGTTCTAGTTCATTTTTTGCTACTTGAAATAGAGAGATAATTTTACTGTGAGAATAGAATCGAGTGGTGTCGTCTGCCAACATAATAGTAGACATAGTATTTGATGCTTTATATAGATCGTTGACATAGATTAAGAAAAGCAGCAGCGGACCTAAGATGGAGCCTTGTGGAACCCCACATGATTTTTTAAATTTGTTTGTCTGAAAGCTGTCATTTAGAGAAATAAACTGCTTTTGATCAGATAAGTAAATGGTAAACCATTTGTGTCATTTGTGGCTTATTCAATAATGCTTTAGTTTTTCTTATAAAATTTGATGGTTTACAGTGTGTTAACGGTGTAACGGTTGTTAACGGTTAATGAGAAGATGCCCCACTGATAACTTCAACATGTTGCATAAGTGCATGTTCCGTAGAGTAAACTGATCGAAAATCATATTGGTTATAATAAAGAAGATTGTTATCATTCAAAAATGCAAATATCATATTATACATGATACTATTGAGGATTTTTTAAAAAATAGGTAACACAGATATAGGTTGATAATTTGTAACCAGACATTTATCTCCTGATTTAAAAATAAGTGTAATAATTGCAACTTTCAGTTTATCTGGAAAAACACCTGTTTTAAGCAATTTGTTACAAATATCTAATAAAACATCTTTAAGAAGTTTATAGCAGTCTTTGATTATGCTTGCTGAAATAGAGTCATAGACTGTTGCTTTGTTTATATTTAGTTTTTTTATGGAGTCATCATGTTCTTTTTTTAGTGAGCTTTTTAAATGCTAAGCTTTTATCCGACTTCGATAGATAGTTCAAGAAATCTGCAGGAGTGTGTTTAATTTTACTGGCTAAGTTTAGACCAATATGGACCAATATTTCTATATATTATTTCTATATACTATAGACCAATATAGTCTATATATTATTTTGTTTCTTTATAAAATTTATATAATATTATATAATAAATTTTTTTTGTTCTATGAGATTTAATGCAATTGTAAAGTTTATTTTACTATTATTGTTATTATTGTTCCTGTTATTATTTTGATATTTTACATTATTATTATTTATTTATTATTAACTTCATAAAATCGACATGATGTGATCATAATATTCATGATTAAGCATGGTAAACTTAGCTGTTCTGAAATATCCGTTATTAGATATGATCAAAATAAAACTATAAGACTTATAAAAAGAATTGAATTTTTAGAATCGAAAAAGAAACCGAAAATAGTTAAGCTGCGTTTTGGTCAAATCTTTATGACAAAAATAATATGCGGAAAAAGCTATTGTTGTAAACTCAATTACTAAAACTATATTATCTGAACAGAAAGAGAAAAAAAAACGAATCAAATAATTTAGATGAACGTGAAAAAAAACAACGACGACAAAAAAAAATTGACTAGATGTTTGAGAATATTGGTAAAGGCAATGTAAAACCTATTAAAGTATTAAGAATAAAAATTAAAAAAGACTCAAAAACTCCTTCGCCCATTATTGTTGTACTTCCTAAAAACTGCGAACGCAATAAAGTTTTACTTGCCGCAAAGGAATTACGCAAAACATAAAATATACAAATGTGTAAATTAATCCAGATATGACACTCGTCGAAAAGCAAATCGATCCTAAACTTAGAAAAGAAAGAAGTAAAAAAAACAACCAAATACTCCTAAAAAATGAACCAAACTCACACTTTTGATAGTGCATTTGGTACAACGAAGTCTTTAAACTCAATTTTAGTAAACAAAAAATATAAAAAAACTATAAAAAATTGTATTTATTTTTAAACCATTAAGAAAATTACTGAGATTTTATCCGTAAAAGCTATATACACACACATTGACTCCTTATTAAATAAACGCCATCAGCTCCAACAAATTGTAAACAATCTGAAAACCGAAATTATTTTTTTAACAAAAACTCTGTCTAAAAATAAAAAAATTGAAGTTTTGAAAAATAAAAATAAAATAAAAAATTAAAATACACAGGCCCTGTGTATTATTATATATTTTCCTAATATTTATAAATAAAAATGAATCTGTTCATTCTAATAGTTTAAAAAAGCTCTTTTTTTAAATCTAAAACTAACTTTTTATGTTTTTACAGAGGTTTGATTGTTCATGTGCCCAATTGCCCGAACAGGGGAAACAAGCCCTAAAATTTTTTGTATTTTCTTAAAATTTATTAACGTAAATAAATACGTTCACTCCTTCAGTTTGATAAAGCTCATTTACGTTAACTGAAGTTAATTTTTACGTTTTAAACAATGCATTTAAATCTTTAAACCCAATTGCCCTAATGGGACAAACGAGCACTGGGATCCATACCTAGGGGCCCTTTACATGAGAATATTACTTTGTAGAATTTGTTGAATGCTTTGATTCTTTAGTAAAAAATGAAAACATTAAAGATAATTTAGCATAAGTACTTCAATGACACTTTTTCTCATGGATGGCATTTAAAAAATAAACTTAATATCAAAATTTGAGGCCATAAACCCTCAAGGAAAACTTAACAAATTTTGACTCTGTTTATGTTTGAATACAAAACATAACCTAAAATAACTTACGCTTTGAATACCTAAAATAACTTACGCTTTGAATACAAAACCTAAAATAAAAATTTTTTAGAATCAATATCTCCATTTTTTTCGAACGGCCTTATCTTCTTAAGAACCATTTTATGCGAAAACCAAGCAATTTAAAAAATGATATTCTTCCATCACGCTCAATTTTTTAACAGTAAAGCTAATAAGGTAGGAAAAAAGCCTTTAAATTTTTTTTTTTTTTAATTTTTATAGTTCCTGAGTTATGGTTGGTCAAACATATGAACCTTTAACTCTTGGAAATTCATTAATGTTGTTTTGTGATTTTCAAGCAAAACTTAAAGACAATGAGGTACCTGCATCCTAGTTTGCCTTTATATTAGAGAAGTATAGATCAAACTTTTCATATCTTGTTGCCAAAAGTATTTGTATTAAATTAAATGTATTTGTTTTAATATGGAAACTTATTTTTTACTTTTTTTGTGTGCTTATTCAAAGGATTAAAACAATACCATTTTATTCTTATACCTCAATAAGTAAACTTTCTCGTCATAGTTACAAATAAAAAACATAGGATTTACGTTGCTTCTTAAAGAAAGAGTAACATTTACATTTTTTAGATTATTTAATTTGGTAAGACAACAAAATTTTCATATCTTTTCATATATTTTAAATTTATAAAATGTAAATAAACGGCTGGACAAAAAAAAGACAAATTTAGTCTTATCACCAACCCCCTTAGATTAACACCAGTTGTTATAGCTATACCTTATTATTATTGTTATTATTATTGCTATTATTATTATTTTTTATTTTTTATTTTTTATTATTATTATGATTAAAAAGTGTTGGGATAAATTAGACTTTATTCACTTTAAATAAATCTAAACACTTTTGAAAATTTTAAATTTTTTACATGGTTTCCGTTTCAAAAAAAAAAAAAAAATGTCTGTTACGATTTTTTTTTGTTAATGCATTAATTGCTTTAAATATTTTCTATTATTAGTGTAATTCTGTTATGCTATCACTATTATTGCTAATGTCCAAGTTGCTGATAAATGTGCTGTTTTTATTGTTGCTAGTGTTGATGCTTTTGACGTTAACTCTTTTAGTATTATATTAGCATGGGAGTTCTATTAGTTAACCTTTTATTGCTATCTCTATTTTTATTGATAACTCTATTTTAAAGTTTTTATGAATTTGTTGTTTTGCTAAATAGTTTAGTTTCAACATTTTTTAAAAATTTAGTTTTCCAGAACCGAATTAAAGTTACACAATGTGCAGCAAATTTGGAGAAGACACCACCGCAATGGAGGTTGTAGAAGGCATCAGCTTAAGAGGCTATGAAGTAATAGTGACCGGTAGAAATTCTGGAATTGGTGTTGAAACTCTTAGAGCTTTAGCTAAAGCTGGTGCCAGATGTGTTCCTTGTACAAGAGATTTGGAAAAAGGACATCACGTTGCTAAAGAATTAATTGCTTCTACGAGAAACGATCAGATCGAGGTCGAGTTGGACTCTTTAAAAAGTGTAGATGACTTAGTGCAAAGATTTTTTGCAAAAAAGAGACCGTTAAATATCTTGGTTAATAACGCTGGAGTTATGACTTGTCCTAAATCTTTTACTAAAAATGGATTTGAAAAACAATTTGGTATTAATCATTTAAGACATTTTGCCTTGACTATTGGACTTTTACCGCGTTGAAAGAGGGCGCAAAACAAATGAGTAACAAATCTAGAGTAATCAATGTCAGTTCAACAGCGCATGCGTTTTCAAACGTTGATTTTAATGACATCCATTTCACAAAAGGTAGAGAATACGAAAGATTTGTTTCGTATGGACAGTTAAAAACATGCAATTTTTCGTTTTCATTGGCTTTGACAAAACGGTTTTTCAACGATGGTATTGCATCGAATTCAGTTATGCCTGGAAATATCGTAACCAATTTAGGAAGACATCTAAATAAAGAGTTTTAGATAGAAAAAGGACTGATTGATGAAAATGGAAAATTTCTGAAAAAATTTAAGTTAGTTAAGGCGGGAGCCTTAACATCAGTTTGGGCTGCAGTATCGCCAGAATTAGAAGGAAAATCTGGTCTGTATCTGGAGAATTGTTCCATTGGCAAAGAAGAATGAGACATTGAAAAGATACGGACTATAATCTTAGGTTATGCACCATTTATTATGGATGATGAAGCTGCTAATAAGCTATGGAACATTTCCGAAGAGCTGCTAAGTAAAAGATCTCTCTAACTACATTTGCTTAGCTTCTTGACTTACAAGTCTATAAATTTTATATATCTAAACTTGTAGGTTTAATTGAGAAAACTATTTTAAATATAACAAATAAAACATTTTTTTGGTTTAAATACTAAGTTTTTTGTTCGAAATTTTTTGTGAATTTTTATTAATTGGATTACTTTTATAATTTGAAATAAATGTCTATTACTTTTAAAATCTATTAAAAAAGTGATTTTAAATAATTTGTAATATATGGTCTGACTAAAGTCTAGACAATCCATCCAAGTAATAGTTGGGTTACAACAATACGGTTCTATAAGTAAATCAATAAACAAAAATTATAAAAAAAGCGCCTATAATGCCCACCAAATAAAACTAATCTGGTTTTTAGTTTATATTGTAGCAGTTTTATTTAAAAATTGTAAAACTAATTATTAAGTATTACGATGCAATTTTCCGTATAGATATGAAATTTCTAGTAGGTTAAGATAGAGCTAGTTAAACGTTTTTTACTAAACCTAACATTCTCTTCAACTGTATTGAAATGTAACCTGCAATTAGGCATTTTATATTTATATTTTTGGGATTTTAAGACTAAGACTGTATTTTTCTAAGTCTCGCTCATTTATTGATTATAGTTCACAAAAAAAATTAACTTTAACCTAATCTATACTTACATTTAATGTGGCTCTGGACACTAGAGACCATAAAAAAATAAAGTTATAAAGCTGGAATCGTTTTGAGACTTCGGATCCATGGTATGTAAGCTCCAAACATTTTGCAATTGTGATGATAAAACTCCATTCCATAGGTTTGATGCCTTTTATTATTTTGTTATTTTATATGAAAAATTTTAAGTATAAAAATTTTATTTATTAGGTTTAATAGAACTAATGTTTTTTTTTAAAGTTTGTTTGCGATGATTAATGTGCCATCACATAAATGTAGCAAATAATTATGAAGCTATGGCAATAAACGCAATGTTGACACAAAATTGCGAAAGTTCAAGTTAAATGGTTCATCTAAATCTGGTAAGTTTACACTTAATCAAATAATTCAATAATATTTCTGTTTTCCGTGTTTAAGTGAAGGAAAAGTTTTTTTCCTTTATTTTTACTATTATTAATGACTAGATTTACTGTGTTTTATAAAATAGTTTTTGTTAATAAAATTATTTAGGAAGATTAAGAGGCATTTTAACTTTTTTTTTTTTAATTTTTTAGTTTTTTTTGTTTATTCAAAATAACTTTTACAATAAAAGAATGAATAAAATACATACAACAGGAGTTACAAATTTTGTTGATTTTATAATAAGAATGCAGATACTTGCAGAAGATTACAAGATCTTGTCATCGAGATCTGGCTAAACAGATTTTAAATAAAAAAACGTTTAAGATACTTTAAATTGTAATTATACTGTGGCAACATTTTAAAGTTATCTATTTATAATAAAACGATAAATTGCGTATCATATAATTTATTAAGAACGTGCAGTAAATTAAATTAATTATCATGAAATTTCAAATCTCAAGGTATTATTTTAAAGACAAATTTTTAATGGAGTTTTGGTCCATAATAATCCAAGTACCACATGTTTTAATAAATATATTTGTAACAATACTGCATTTCGTTGTAATTGTAAATTTTCATTGTGATATTCATTACATTTTAGTTCATAAAGTTATAAAAAGGTCCTTCCCAGTTAGCACAAAGACATTTAAAAGACGTTTTAAAGATGTCTTTAAGGAGGTCTAAAAGGCGCACTTGTAGACGTCTAGATCATAAGGCTAAAAGACGTCTAAATGAAGACGTCTTTATAAAAACGCGTTTTAGACGTATGTTAGACGTCTACATGTACATGACGTAACATTTTTGCGTAGTATGTGGTATATATTCATTGTATTTATAACATCATATTTTGTTATAATTTCGTATAATCAAAATATGCATAGGAACCAGTAATCAAAATAATATTGCTGCAATCAACACCAACGGTTGATGCATCAAAGATGAAAATGATAAATAACAATAACAAATATATATCAAAACAGTATTTAAAACATTTATAACTCACCATTAGTTATTATTATATTTACCGCACGTGGTGCTAGCTAATTTTTGACCGCATACTTGACTTATTATATGGCTTGTGGGTGTATAAAAACTAAAAGTACTGATATTTAACTTATATATTATTCTTGCCATTTTCATTTATTATCATGATCAGTCAACTATCTATTAAAAAAGCAAATTAATTATTAATAAAAAAAAAGATATATTATTATTATAGCAATTATTTTAGTGATTACTGTGACAACAATTTTAGCAATTGTGTAAAAAAGTAATTTAATTTAAAGTAATTTACACTTAAAACTTGAACGAATTATTGAAAATAATAAAAACTATATTTTTACTTTGAATATACGACATCTACGGCGTAATGACAAAGCCGTCAAAAAGAAGTCATAATGACATATTTATAAACAGGTCTCAGAAAAGATGTCTTTTAGCTTTGATCTAGACGTCTTTTAATGCGTATTTTAGACTATTTATTACGCGTCTTTTAAACGTATTTTTAAACTTTAAAAAGACGCATTTTAAACGTCATGTTAAATTCGCATTTATTAAAGACGTCTAGAAGATGTCTTAAAAAAAGATATCTTCTAGACGTTTTTTTAACGCTTAAATAGACGCCTTTTAAACGTCATTTTAAAAACGCCTTTATAAAAGACGTCTAGAAGATGTCTTTAAAACGTCTATAAAAGTGCGCCTTTACCTAGACTAGTTTTAGACGTCTATAAGTGTCTAAAACGCGTCTTGTGCTTACTGGGTTAACTCAAGTCTATGTAATTATGGTTTGTTGTTAATGGATTGAACTTCTTCGTAAATAATAAAAATAATTACTATTGTAACATGCTAACCATGTTGTTTATAAATTGTAACCATTTTGAATATATATGTTGTTACTATATTGTATAAGTATATATGCAATAAATTATTAAGTTGTGCTTATGTTTGTTTTTATTTTATTAAAGTTAAAACGGATGAAAGCACTAAAGAAGACAATAACGTTACAAATTGAAGCAGAAGTTTATAAGTAGACGATTGGATATGATTATGTCAAATGGTTATGAATCAAATCTTTGTATTATCCCGAGCAGCCTGTATCGTTGGGCCAACGTTGTTTTGTGTTAGTTGGCGCAACTAAGTTGGATTTGCTGTTGGGCCTAGTTGTTTTGTGTTAGCTGGCGCAACTACGTTATATTTGCTGTTGGGCCATCGTTGTTCTGCGTTTGTTGGCGCAACTACGTTATATTTGCTGTCGGGCCATCGTTGTTCTGCGTTTGTTGGCGCAACTACATTAAATTTGCTGTCGGGCCATCGTTGTTCTGCGTTTGTTGGCGCAACTACATTAAATTTGCTGTTGGACCAACGTTGTTTTGGATTAGTTGGCATCATTTTGCATTATCCAGGAAAAATTTGTTCAGAGTATAAGTAAGATAAAATGGAGCGTACCTTTTATGCCATACTTGTTGCGCAAGATAATGCTAATTATTATATATATATATATATATATATATATATATATATATATATATATATATATATATATATATATATATATATATATATATATATATATATATATATATATATATATATATATATATATATATATATATATAATATTTAGCATTACCAAGGTAATGCTATTTATTATATATATATATATATATATATATATATATATATATATATATATATATATATATATATATTAAAATGCAAAAAAAAAACTTTTTTCTGGGACTTCAAGGTAATAAGTATCGATCACTCTTAAACTGACAAAGAGCTGTATTAAATCCAACAGAATACAACACAACTCAATAATAATAATAATAATAATAATAATAATAATAATAATAATATATATATATATATATATATATATATATATATATATATATATTTATATATATATGTATATATATATATATATATATATATATATATATATATATATATATATATATATATATATATATATATATATATATATATATATGTATATATATATATGTATATATATATATATATATATATATATATATATATATATATATATATATATATATATATATATATACATATTTAACCTATTAACTGGCTGCAATATGAAGATAAAAAGTGTATTTGTTTATGGCTGTTGTATACTTCTGACCTTAAAATCAATAAAGCGGAAAAATCTGAACCTCCCAAATCTATTTGGAAACTATTTTTTGTTAGAGTGCTGCATTCTTACAGTAAGCTTTATTTACGTTTAATGGTTTTAAACTTAGCTTATTTGTTCAACAAAAATTCAGTTTTAATTTTTATTATCTTAAAAGCACATGTGAAATTGCTAATTCCAAGTTGGATATTGCAGAGGTCTGCTCAGAACTTCCAACAGAATTAGATATTGAA